CTGATCAAATTGCGCTTTGAAGCTTCCCTACACATTTTAAGCTTTGCTGTTGAATCTCTATTGCAACTACACTATTCTCCCATTGTAGCATAAAAGCAGCCACAGACAATATGTAAATGAATAGATGAGGCTGTGTTTTAATAAAACTTAATTTACAAAAAACAGAAGGCGGGCCAGATTTGGCCTGAGGACTGTGTCTTCCCAACCTCTGCCTATTTTCAAATGAAACACCAAAAGGTTAAAATCTGGCCCCCAAATCTTACAGCTAATAAGAAAATAAAACTGGATTTGAACCTAAACTATCTCCAGAAAATGTACTTACCCTTAACCATAAAATTATACTATTTCTCAGGAAAAAAAAAATTAAAAAATCAACAGAGTGCTTTTGTAACTTTCTAGCTGTGTGATCATAGCATTTTAGGGTTTATAGAAGACTTAGGGAACCATCTAGCTTTAAATCTTCCAGGATCATATGATGGCCATGATCATGATAAAGACAAAAATGAACACTGTTCTCTGAGTGATTAATTCATAATCTTTTATATGTTTTATCTTGCTAAATTCTTACAAAATCCTACGACTAGGCCCCTGTTTTGCAGAGGAAGTTTAAAAAGGGGAAGCCACAAGAGCTCTATTGTAAAACATGGTGATCATAGTTACATGATAACAACGTATGTATTCTCAAAAACCGCTAAAAGAATAGGTTGTTAGTGTTCTCACCACAAAAAAAAAAAAAAAAAAAAAAAAAACTACACACACAGCAAAGCTGAGTATGTGAGGTAATGCAAATGTTAATTAGATCACTTGAGCCATTCTACAACGTATACATATTTCAAAACATGCTGTACAGAAAAAAATATCATATATATAGTTTGTATTTGTCAGTTTAAAAAATAAATGTAAATAAATTAAAAGGGGAAGTCACTTCAACAAGGTTTTACAGCAAGTAACGTGAAGAGCTGCGATTCAAGTGCAGATCAGTGCAGCAAACTCACTGCCCACCAAAAATTTAAGCCTCTTCCCCACCCTCAAATCCAGAGTATAGATTTGTCACGAGAAAGTGGCTTCCCAGAGACTACATTTCCCAACTACCCTTGCAGTTATGTGTTATCATGTGACTGAATCCTAGCCAATAGAGTGTGAGGGGAAGTGATATGCACCACTTCCTGGTGTGGCACATATTAACCTCCCACCGTGGGACTCAGCCATGTTCTTTTCCCCCTCCCGGTTGGTTGAAATGTGAAGAACACCAGGATGACCTTGGGAGTTGTGTATGGAAAAATGACAGAGCTTCCCTCAGCCTGACGGTGCAGGATAGACACTCTTCAGACCTGTTTGCTCACCCTCTACTGATACATAAGGAAAAAATAACTCCCACTGTGGCAAGCCTGTGACATTCTGGAGGTGATCCTAACAACCACTAATGTTACCCTATTTAATACCATCAGCCTGACACTCAGTCACTTTGCTAAATGGCCCTTGTATTGGAGGACAACTGAAATAGAGCTCATATTTTTCCTCTCTACACCATCACTGCTGACTAATGCCCTGCTCTCCATCTTCTTGTGGGATAAGATGGCTGGATTCATTAGGACCATGAGGTAATTTGGGTAAATTACCTACCTCAGGCTCAGTTCTGTTGATGCCTGTCAGGAATAGGAGGTGGGCCAGGAAGAGGCAGAGGGAGAACTGTAGGTGGAGGGAGGTGCTGGTGTTCTGGATGGGCCGGCACAGGAGGAAGGTGAGGATGGCCAGGAAGAGGCACAGCAGAGAGATGGCCAGTCCCACCTGGGTGATTACAGTCAGCACAGGGTCCTCCTGCAAAACACCAAACACCAAAGGGGGAATCCATTATAGTGTCCAGTGGTGGTGTGATGTCCCTGAGGTAGTGTCAGATGGGCTTCCTCGTTCCGTCCCTGAAACAATTGAATTTACCTCTCTGAGACTTAGTGTTCTCATCTTCAAAATGAGAGCAGTAATAACACACATCACACAGGAATGTTAAAAACCGAAACAACTAGACCAGTGCTGGATACAGCTCTTAACAAATGACTAATGGGAGTTGGTGTATAAATACCCCAGCTCCCTTGCAGCTCAGATAGAATGACCCAGAGATGTGAGTTCTACACTGACTCCCAGAGTCCCCCAGAGGGAATAAAGTCCAGTTACCTATGGTGGTAACTGGCTTGATAATGCTGTCTGCACTGACATCTGTCTTACTTCCATCTCATTGTCTCAATCCCCCACTAGTGTTTCCTGTAATCCACTTTCAAGTAAGCTACTACTATTTGACTCCTTGTCTTAGAATCTCTTTTTTTTCTTTCTTTATTTTTTAACATGGAGTCTTGCTGTGTCACCAAGGCAGGAGTACGGTGGCACAATCTCGGCTCATTGCAACCTCCGCTTCCTGGGTTCACTCAGTTCTTCTCCCTCAGCCTCCTGAGTAGCTGGGATTACAGGTGTGTGCCACCATGCCCAGCTAATATTGTATTTTTAGTAGAGACGGGTTTTCATCATGTTGGCCAGGCTGGTCTCGAACTCCTGACCTCAAATGATCCACCCACCTTGGCCTCTCAAAGTGTTGAGATTACAGGTGTGAGACACCGCGCCTGGCCTTTAGAATCTTTTTGTAAGAAATGCAGAGGATGACTCACAGCTTCCGGGACATACACAGGTTCACAGGAATTAATCTTGGTACCTTGGGGGCAAGAGCCACGAGGACGGCAAAGCTGGACAGATGGAAGCACTTGCATTTGGTGTAAGAGCCGTTGCTGCACACACGAGAGCAGCCCTCAGTGGACCAGCTGCCTCCCTCCAGTCCCTCCCAGTAGACACAGATATGTTTTGTTCTCTCGTCACCAGGCTGGAAAGAGAAGAGTATGAAAGTGGGTCTCTTCCTGGTTTTATTTTTTATTTTATTTTATTTTGAGACAGAGTCTTGCTCTGTTGCCCAGGCTGGAGTGCAGTGGTGCGATCTCAGCTCACTGCAACCTCCACCTCCCAAGTTCAAGCAATTATCCTGCCTCAGCCTCCCAAGTAGCTGGGACTACTGGTGCACACCACCATGCCCGGCTATTTTTTGTATTTTCAGTAGAGATGGGGTTTCACCATGTTGGCCAGGCTGGTCTTGAATTCCTGGCCTCAAGTGATCCTCCCACCTTGGCCTCCCAAAGTGCTGGGATTACAGGCATGAGCCAACGTGCCCAGCTTATTATTTCAACTTTATAGGTTAATCACTATGCAGTGTTGGAAACTGGATTGGAAATACACTTGTAGGGGAAGAGTTTGATATCACCACGCCTACGGTGGGTTTATTCTCCATCTATTCTGCCCTTCTCTGGTCAGCTCAGAACCCTGGGGTTGACCCTCTGAATGGCTTCGCCAGCTTCCTTCCTATTTATAGAACCAAAGAGAGGCACTGGTGAGACTCTTTGGGTGAGAGAAGAGAGAGGAATAAAGTATTTCTTCCCTGTGCCCTTTCTACTTTAAACCATCTCCATCTTCTGCAGAGCGATCCCTCATTCCTGCCTCCTGCTTCCACTGAGCTCAGTAAAGCTTCTCCTCCATTGCCTTTTGGCTTCAACGTGAGAATGGCATCTCACTGTGGCAATTTCTGGATGCCCCAACATTTCATTTCTTCCCAAGCTTTACTGAGGTGTGATTGACCAAAAAAAACAAAAAAACAAAAAAAACCCACAAAAAACTATGTTTATACATTCTGATAGATGTATACAGTTTTAAATGATTACCACAATGAAGCTAACATATCCAACACCTCACATATTTTTTGTGTGTGTGTGTGTGTGTGTGGTGAATACATTTGTGATGCACTCTCTCAGCAGATCTCAAGTATACAC